TTTTTTAAAACGCCGAAACACGTCAACTAATTTTGATTTTTCCCATCTTTCAGTTATATAATAATTAATTTTTCTTCAACCCCCTCAACCCCAGCTACTACTACTTTTTTTTCAAATGGAAACATAAGGCATGTGGGGGCTCGTTGAAAAGCTTATAGAAAACCAAATCCAGCCATACCAAATAAACAAGTTTTATTTTTTCAATAGCAAGTTTTTTTTCATTTAGAAATTGAAACAACTAGATAATTTACAAAAATAAACTCAATGTCGCAAATGCTGAAAATGTCCTCCACTCACTATTTGGCATTCTCCAAGACGATAGTAAAAGCTGTCCACAGCATTCTGAATGACTTCAGCTGGTAAATTATGCATCTCTGCCCTAATCTTGTTCTTTAAATTCTCAATATTATCCGGTCTGTCCTGGTAGACTCTTTCTTTCAAATATCCCCAAAGAAAATAATCCAGGGGTGTTAAGTCGGGGGATCTTGGCGGCCATTCAACTGTACCCCGTCTACCAATCCAGCGATTTGGAAACATTTCATCTAAGTATCTTCGAACATCAATACCAAAATGTGGGGGAGCGCCATCTTGTTGGAACCAAATTCTTTCATTCGGTACATCTGGATCAATTTCATGAGGGAAAATCACAGCTAGAGCAGGTATCAGGTCAAATGTTAGGAAATCCAGGTAGCGTGCGGCAGTAAGATTTTCTTCAAAAAAGAATGGGCCCAAGATTCTGTTGGATGATACCTGCCCATACATTAACTTTTTGTGGATGCTGCGTATGCGATTCGCATGTCCAGTGTGGATTTTCCTGGGACCAAAAGCGATAGTTGTGCCTGTTAACCACTCCATTTAAATAAAACGTAGCTTCATCCGAAAAAAGTACGTCTCGTTGAAAACCATTATTGTCGTCACACCGTCTCATCATTTCCTCACAAAATTGTAATCGCCTATCATAATCGTCTTCCAAAAGCTCTTGGACAAGACATACGCTATAGGGGTGGTATTTCTCTTGTTTCAGAAACATTCGAATTGCAGTTCGAGAAGCATCGTGATTGCGGGCCAATGAAACAGTTGAAGTATGAGGATTTTCAACAAGTTCTAATGCAATGTCTAATTTCTTTTCTTCATTCAAAGCACGTGCCCGTCCAGTTTTGGGCAAAGTCTGTACTGTACCGTGTTCCTCAAATTTGTGAAATATTTTACTAAGTGTCCCTTGCGAGATTTGTTTTTAGGGATATTTGGCATTAAATAAATCGCGCAGTTCAGCCTGACTTCTTATTTTGTCTCCACATCCAAGCAATATCAAGATTTCGATGTGTTGCCTTTCCAACAATACAATTGCAATTCAGTAAATAACTTGATTTTGACACAATAGTAACGTTTCGAACTCCAATTTACAACTAAAGCGAAAAATTTACCAGAAAGCCTGGCAAGAGGTGCCAAAAAAACACAACATAAAAAATATATCTTTTTTGCGTTAGCAGCGATAGGTAGTTTCAAATTCTTTATTTCATTCTGTGCAAATTCATGGAGGACAACACTGAAGATAATTAAATTTTATTTCACTTGTTAAGTAGGTGTTTTATACAACCCTAAAAACCTTGCTATTGAAAAAATAAAACTTGTTTATTTGGTATGGCTGGATTCGGTTTTCTATAAGCTTTTCAACGAGCCCCCTGATGCCTTGTTTCCATTTGAAAAAAAAGTAGGGGTAGCTGGGGGCCAGGGGGTTGAAGAAAAATTAATTATTATATAACCGAAAGATGGGAAAAAATCAAAATCAGTTAACGTGTTCAGGCGTTTAAAAAAAAATTAACTCATTCAAAAGATATGAATTTTATTCCGTATTTCTGGCCATCCCTGTATATGGCAATACATACAGTTTATCATATTTTCGCTACAAGTGTTAGTAGTTGAAAGTTAATACAACTTCATTGAGGTCATGTTTTTTCAAAAATTCGAAGAATTTTCTACATAACTTGGCAACCCCGCACTAAAATGTTAAACTGTTTATATTGCCACATATAGAATTTTCTCAGAAATCCATGTTTAAAAATATACATTTAAAAAATATAATATTTGGCGTGTCCCGTTTTTACTAAACGCCCTGTATGTTTCAAATTAATTTTGTCCTTTAGATTTTTTGATTCTGTACAACTTTTAAATAAACTTTTTTCTGTATTACAAATTACAAGGGAGTTATTTTACTTTCTCACACTAATGGCCCATATATGTATAGAACATTTTGATAAATCATAAATGTGATTAATAAGGTGAATATATTGTAAACTTTAAAAATTAAATTACAGTTTTAAAATAAATTAGTTCACAGTGTGGTAAAATATCTACCCCAAAAAGGGAAGACTACTTATTTAATAAATGTACAAAAACCTAATTATCGTCAGACATACTTTTTGTTATTAAATTATGAATTTGAAAATGATAAAAGAGTTGAAGTTACAATACATATACGTAGGTAAACAGGTAGCTCAATCTCAATATTCACCCGTTCTGGTAATCGTGTATCATTGCTTAATAATCACTGAGTCGGCACGCCTACCCTACATCCTGAAACGTAAAATGCCCCAATTCGACACCCACATATATATTTTATTTATCAAACACTAATTACTTACCTAATTATTTTAATTTTTATTTTCTGTGCATTTATGGTTTTAATAGGTAATACCTCTCTAAAAGTACTTTATTTCCTAAAATTAATTTATCTTTTATTTAACTGCAAATATACACAATTCAACTAGTATTTTTAAAAACAATTATTTTTAAAGGATCGTAATAAGTAACTGTAAATATATTATTGGACAAAATTGCAGTACCATTTTAATATGTAGATCAGAAAAAATTAAAAAATATGTTTTGAATTTAGAGTATTTGAAAACTAAATATAGAATGCTCCTTGAAACTGTAATTGCAAATCAGGATGATTGTGACATAAGAATTTGAATAAAATAAAATTGAAATTCGATTTGAATACTTCAGTCTTTCAGACAAAATAAGTCATGTAAGTAATGTAGGATTATTTTTCATGAAATATAAACATTTATATATAGAAAATCAGAGGAATTTATAGGGAAATCAGAATTCTGATGTATAAAACTATAATGGCAGTTTATCCTTCGTATTCCTCCAATTAAATTAAACTAAAAAAAATTTCTCCTTACAAAAAACATAAACATTCCAAATATTTATCTATATTACGAAATAACACTAAAGGTTAAAGCCTCAATTTTGTATATCGGGAGGTACATACAACCAGTAAAACTTGGTATTTGAATTTGTAACTATTACTAAATATAAAGGACCAAATTAACATTTTAAACCAGAATTTGTATTTATATCGAATATTTCTATGTAAAGGTGTTACAAATATTTAAAAATTACCGCAACTGTAACAACAACTGTAACTGGTCCCAATGTGTATGAAAACAAAATTTCTAGTTATAATGATTTTGATCAAATATAAAATACATTGACACAACTACAACGAATACCCTTAATTGTTCCATATTTGAAGTTAGGTTAGAATTGAGTTACATAGTATTATAATAATAATAAGAGTTGGTCATTTATAATATGCTTAAAACATAATATGTTAAATGTCTATTATACAGGTCTATTACCTATTTATGTGATGTAAGATTTAAACCGATATTCAAAGTATTCAATAATTTATTATGAAATATTTATGAGGTGGGTAGGTAGGTATATTTATTTGTCCATACTTTTTATATATTTCAGATATGCACAAATTGCATTACTCGCTATTACTTGACATAAGTTTGTATTATTTATAGCTTTTAACAGAACCTGCTTTTTCAGTATATGTAGGTAGGTAGGTACATACTATAAAATCAATTTGAGTCTATAGGTACTACATTTGATAACTTATATAAAATTATGCCTTATCAGAGTACCAAATAAAATATATATCATCTAAAAAAGTGTGTTGAAAGTGTACAAGTAAATTACTAAAAAATAAAAAGGTAGTACATACCATGCATGGTATTAAATATGGTGATTGTTGAAGTAAAGTAGAACCTAACCTTATTTTAAAAAAGTGATGGGTGTAATTTTTGCGTCAAGGTCATTTACACTTTAGATTACATATATACATCGTTTTTAAATAATCGAAACAATTACAAAAACGTACGTATTTTAACAACAAATTCTTTGTAAGCAACACTGGGTAGGTAAAACTGGAACCGAAAAATTGTCAACAATTTCACTAGTCACTTCTATGCGTTTGACGTATGAAAATTTTGTTTGACACCACTCTAATGGGCAATGTTACGTGATATAACAAAAGTCAAATTAGTTGGTAAATTATGGATTATAATCAAAGAGACAAATTGTCCACAATGAAACACCGATAAAACGACAAATTTAGAAACGAACTAGACAATCGGGATGTTAAAGCCGGGGAAGGGAAGCTGTTAGAAAACAGTTCATGGTATTGCAATTCACTTGAACTGCATAATAAACTACGGACACCAAATATTTTCTTTAAAATTTCTTTTTAACCCGGAAACCATGTGCCTATCACTCGGCTTCCATAAACCAGTTGTCTTTACGGGAGCACAAATTACCGATTAAAAAACAGCCGCAGATGTTTGCAGTTGCAGATATTATTGAAACACTAAAATAACACTAACTTCGAAATATGACGTAGACCACAGTTTAACCTACACAATCTAGAAGAATTTTTGCTTACCGCTTAGATTACTTTGCAAAACTCAACACAATTTCTCACGGAACTGGCAAAATGGCCGTCGCAGGGGCACATGCCACAGAAAACTAGTAATCACGAAGAAAAAGATCGTACGATTTAGGACTGGTGGTGCCACCTTTTGTTGTGCAAATGTACAACGAATTTCAGCGGATATTTCAAGTACAATTTACAAATTGTAGTTATGTAAATAATTTGACAATCAATCAATTTTATTGGTATTAACAATAGTAAGACTTGAACTTACCGTCTAAAGGCAGCGGGTAAGCAAAATCAGATGATTGGGAATGAGACTGGTGTAGATTCCAGCCAATTTGTGTATCTAAATCCACATTAGACCCTGTTTTAATATCTAGTTCCTCTGCATTAGTACTCGAAGTGCCTCCAGAGATACCTGGAGAAGAAACCACCTAAAACAATAAATAAAAATGTAAAAATGTTTTACATACCATTTACGTACGCACATAATATCTTACATGTTTTGTAATACAATTCTCACCTAGTTATTAAATAATTGACATACTTTACAAACTTTACACTTAATGAGCGAATGTTACATTTTCTACCTAACCAATTGGTACAAGGGAAAGTACACACTGAACTTCCTGCTTCAGTGGTCTATTTCTATTTACTTCAAGAATGTAAGTACCTTTAAATTGACAAAAAATATTTTTCTTATTCTTGATAATTCATAATTGAAATTTTATTCATAATATCCGGTCCGGTTTCATAATAAACAAAAATGTCGTGCTTTATACTTAAAGGTACTTTAAAACAAGAAAGTAGGTAGGTAGGTATGTCATCAGTTTTTTTTTTAAACATATAACTATTTTATCATAGGTCTCTCATTTTTATTCTATTTTGAAGAAGTTAACTCAAATAAATATTCAAACAATGTTCGTTTTATACCAAAAATCTAGGTATAAAAAAAATATCAAAATAAAAAAATATAAAAATATGTTTACTAAAATATTTGAATTAGGTATAGTAAGTATACATCTATAAATAAAATTTTATATAAAACTTATAAGTAAAACATATAACTACTTATGTTACCTACTCTATTTATCTCTACCAAATCTAAATTTATATGACATATGCTTACAGGACCGTTATTATTTAATGAATAAATGCATTTTCGTACTACTGTATTGCCTTTTATTCTTGGTGTATTATAAAATAATATATTGAATAATTATAATTTAATATTTTATCTATTATATATAGTAGCAGATGCTTGACTTTTTTCATTTAATTTAAAGAGAAAACATCGAACGGAGCGCGACTAATTATTATTATATGCATTCGTTTATTATTAAGTTTAATTAATTGATATATCTACAATATGATAAAACACACACCTACCTACCATAGTATGCAATGCGATGTGATGCAAGCAGAAATACATCCAAAAACATATAACAAATAATACTTAAGAAAGGTATCTATTTGAATTTTTTTTAAATCAAGATTAGTTTACAAACGGAATTGTTTTGGAATTCCACGTGTTGCACTTCTTGAATTCTTCTTCGAATCAAAACATGCGTATTGATCCAAACCGTGAAGAACAACAATGCGTAACAAAAAAAAATAAATGCCACGACATCAAGCAGTCACGAAATCACACATCAGCATTTTGTGATATAAAAAAAATACTAGCTCAAGACGCTATGCACCGAATTTTTATTGTAGTTTATCTTTCATATTTGCTAACTGCGTCGAACACCTGCAGACGTCTCCATATGGTGAGGCTTACCTTTTGTATAATGTAGCAACGCGGATTGAACGCCGTACAAATATAGGTCCCGTTCGCGTCAAGACACGCGGTTAGAGGGTCAGACCCAGACACGGCTTTGCCGCGGCCTCTCCGAAGGGGCATCTGTACTCGCGGAGCACCAGCTGCCACCGCTACTCAGCATGCCGACCTGTTGAGTCCGGGCTCGACCAGCTGATTGAAATACGGCGCCGACGCTAGTACGATGCCCAGGTCCTCCGCCGCCCCCGCAAAGATCTGTGGGCGTAGGCGTCGTAATTGATACAAGAAATACCCAATATTGCAATAATCGTGCTCTTTGTTTTCCGCTTTTCCAACTTCCTGCAAGAGAATTACAGCCGGATATCGATGCACTGAGGAAAGGACATCCTAGATTTTATGTTAAAACTTCTAATTCTGCAATGGAAGCAGAAATATGCAACACTTACAAGGAAAACGTAAAAAACATATTTTTATTTTTTATTTGTTCATCAAATTTCGAGCATGGACGGGAAATGTCGAGTTCAACCACGAAATTTCAATTTCAAACTCGAAATTAGAGCATGAAATTTCTAACTCGCAATTATTGATGGATATACAGTGTGTTCCGTTTTGAGCAGTATCGTCCTCGTATTAAGAAATCTTCGGTTAATTTTCAAATTCTTTTTATTGTTTGGAGATCTACTGTCATCTACCATCACATTCCCTGGGCCTTTCGAACATACGGACCCCACATTAGACGCCACGTCGTATTATTCCACATCCCCTTAGTGTTTCACTACGGAATTACCTCTAATACGGGGAGACCCAGCATATTTACCGAGCTTCTCATACATTACCTGCGGTACTGGGACTCTCGTCTCCGCGCTGGAAAAGAGACAAATGGGATGTTCGTACGTCTCCCTTATCACGCCAACTTCAACGGACGCTTGGGGTATGGACGTCGCCCTGGCCGACTGCGACTGTGCTCCATCTGAGGCATATGGTATGTTGCTAGACATATTGACAACGATCTAATTTATTACACCTTTTTCCACTTTTGTACACCCTGAACTTGAATGCACTAAATATGTTTTTTCTGGACACTAAGTATGGTTACTACACCACTGTCTTTTAAGCTTTACCTTGCCTATCACTATTTCTGAGGTCTACGCCTTAGGTTCAACCATTTGGCTTCTTCTGATTTTGCCCATCTTTTTATAGTAGTCTGACGTGGTAGTGTGGTTTTATACAGGGTGTCTCATAATTAGCTGCCAACCCTGAACAGGCCGATTCTATGATCAAAACTAAGTAAAAAGTTCATATGAACATGGGTCCGGAAATGCTTCCTAAGGGCACAGGGACCCATTGAAGAGGGAGGAATGGAAATCATTTTTTTGCAATATCTTTCAATCGCGTTGTAATAAATGAATGAAATTTGGTATACACAGTTAAATTTTGATGAGTAATTTGATGGACTAATCCATTTATTTCCACAAGGTCCATTGGGGTGGGTACGGGGGGGCCCTTGGTACTTTGCGTGTGTAACTTTTTCATCTTTGACTTTCCGTTTTCCCGAACTGTTTTACGTTAAAAAGGTACTCTTGTTTCAAATCTTTAACGGTTTCTGAGAAAATCGCTCTTGAATTAATCCCACTTTGGTCAATTTCATAGTAATTTAAACAAAAAATAATAATAATAATTTGCCTTTCCTCTCTTTTCCATTTAAAGGATTAATTTTTATTTAATTTAATTTTTCATTATTATTTTTTTATTAAAATTAGATTAAATTTAAACAAAAAAATTTTATTTGTTTAAATTACTGTGAAATTGACCAAAGTGGGATTAATTCAAGAGCGATTTTCTCAGAAACCGTTAAAGATTTGAAACAAGAGTACCTTTTTAACGTAAAACAGTTCGGGAAAACGGAATTTGCTGTCCAATTTGTTAAAAAGTCAAAGATGAAAAAGTTACACACGCAAAGTACCAAGGGCCCCCCCGTACCCACCCCAATGGACCTTGTGGAAATAAATGGATTAGTCCATCAAATTGCTCATCAAAATTTAGCTGTGTATACCAAATTTCATTCATTTATCACAACGCGATTGAGAGATATTGCAAAAAAATGATTTCCATTCCTCCCTCTTCAATGGGTCCCTGTGCCCTTAGGAAGCATTTCCGGACCCATGTTCATATGAACTTTTTTACTTAGTTTTGATCATAGAATCGGCCTGTTCAGGGTTGGCAGCTAATTATGAGACACCCTGTATAGTGGTTGCTCAGTGCGAATTTCGAATTTTTCAAAAATGGAGTGAATTTTCTATTTCTACAGCGCGTTGTCCGCGACTGCTGTGGCTTCAGTGTTTGGGGGAGGCTGAGAGATTTTTACCAAAAAATATTTTAACCCCTAATAGGCTCTGCAACAAAATACTTTTTATTATAACAACAACGTAACCTTTCTGAAGCCTATTTAATGTAGATATTTTGTTTAGGGTTAATCTATTTCTATTTATGACTAAATGATATTTCGCTCAGTGCATGAATTCTACATCCATGTATAAACAATTTAACAATAATTTAAATTACTACTTTCATTGCCATTTTCATACTTTTTTATGTATAAATGGTGTAATTGTTCCCTATATCGATAAAACGAAATATTTTCTAGATAAACACGTTTCCGAAATATCTTAAATAGTAATAAACATCCGAAAACAAATAATTTATAACGCAAAATAAATATACAAAAAAAGCTGTATAAAGAACCAATTATTACACCTACATTAGACTTAGTAATTAAACATTTTAATTCATATTTTTTTCCTGAAACGTTAGTCGTTAAAAATATCTTAAACAATCATTGTCTTTTTTCCACAATTTTTCTTATCGTTCGAGCTAAACCGTAGACCCATCAAACCTTACAATACTGCAATCCTAGAAATGCGTTCAATTCAAACATAAAATAATATACTATAAAATCATAATAAGTTGTGTTTGCCACCTTTTTTCATTTAATTTAATATCATATGACAGTTTCTATGTAGTTGATAGTTACAAGAACTTTCTTATATTGCGTTTTTCCCTAAACTTAAAAAAGGTTAAGATAGTGACCACCAAAGTATTGTTGTATACCATTTAATAAAAATAAGTTCTTTTCCTGAAAAAGGTACATTTTATGGCAATAAAACCTGAAAACAGTTTCAATTATTTTCAACAAAAAAATGTGTAAATTTGATGTGGGTGCCGGTAGGTACATTATCAAAATGATGAGAAGGCTTTGAAGTGCAATTTCTCGAAAACTATTTGAGATGTCAAGGTGAATCAAACATTATGAAGCTATCCAACGAGGTGTCACATTTACTCCCCTACATAATATTTAAAAAATTGGCGTGCCGTCATAGCTGGAAAGCGCACTAGCGCCACCTATACGTACACATCAAAAAGTGCGGAAGAAAAAACAAAATCGACCTGTTCCGGCATTTTGCAAACAAAAGTAGATAATTAAAAGAATTTTTTCCAAACTTTTTTGTGACATACGGTATATTAAAAATTGATCAGTATGACAGGGTTCCACTTGTATTCGGATAAGTAAAAATTATTAGGAACATTTTTATTGCTGAAATCATATATAAAAATTCCCCAGGTGTTTCAATCAATCATTATACGTATTTTTTTTCTACAACTTCATTTTGTTGCAAGACCGAAAGAAAATTAGAATGATTCTAATGTATTTTTTTATGCTTTTTTCACTGAAGTAAGTTTCTTTTTTTAACCAATATTTTCGAGAAAATAACAATATTTTCCCAATAGATGCCATATTGGATTTTTTTTTTAAAGAAATAGTTTATTTATTAATTGTAATAAGAAACAAATTAATTATTTAAAGAAACTTTTCCTTGTTAAAAACTAAATAATTAGGTGTATTTTTTCTTAGTGGAATGTAGGTAATTATTAAAATCTGTACTACTTTCCTGTAAATTTAATTTCCTGATAATTCCAGATTTTTATAATCTGTGCGAATTTAAATATCTTATTTCCTGAATACTTCTAGGATAATTGTCTACAGTGCGAGTAAATTTAATAGTGTTTTTGAGGATTCCCACTATTTTGCAGCAAAAACAAGAAAAAGATGGCGATCAAACTATATTTTCAATTATAAGGGTGAATATTAAATGTATAATATTTAACTGCGGATATAATTCTTGATGTAAATATGATGTCCATATGAAAGTGATTTTCAAAATTAGAAATATTTGCAAAGATTTATTATTTTAAAATGCACGACCCCACATATAAACATTTTGAGAACTGCTGTCCACAATAAGGAAAGGAATCATTTATACCAACGATCGAGAAATTTATTTTGAAAAAATCATAACTCTTTAGTTCCTTAAATCTAACTGTAAATGCACTGTCAAAATAGTAACTTCTGTTAAGAGAGAATTAAAATTAGTGATGGGCATAATCAACCAATTTTGATAATCGAGTTATCGGTAATCGAGTACTTCTAATAATCGAGTGATCACTCGAGATACGAGATATTGGTCATTTTCATCCCAGCGGGGCACAAATATGTTTGTATTAGTCATATATTACTTATAAGCGTGGCTAAAAAAAAAAAAAAGCTCACGCACTTCAAAACCTAACCACTTTTTCGTTTTATTCTAAAAAAAAGGTTACGCAATCAGTGACTATTTGCAGTATGCACTAACATTTTGGGGTGCAACCGTAGGGTAATAATCACTCGAGTGGTGGGAGTAAACATCTCGAGATATCTCGAGTGATCTCAATAATCGAGTACCACTCGATTTTTCACTCGAAATCTCCCATCACTAGTTCTTACTTCTTCTTCATGCTTATTTGCTTATGTAGGTTAGAGAAAAAAAAAAGAGATGTTATGTGCATTAAAAAGCGTTGTTTAATGTTTAAGCTTTTTTGGAAAAAATAAAGTTTTAGAGAAAAATATCGTGTGCCTTCCTGAAGCAGTCTCCCAGATCTTCCTACACTTGTGCAATAATCTTAACCCAATTTTTAACCACAAAGTAGGTAATCGAAATTCTAAACGATTAAAAAATTAATTTGATGTTAAACTACCTTAAAGTTTAACATTACACCATTTAAAAATATGAGCCTTTAAATCTTTGAAAAAATAAATTTGACAAATAAAGGTGACTTTAAGGCTGTCACGGCCCATGCTAAGTCTCAGCTATTTCATATTTACGACTTAATATGCCATCAGTGAAGAAAAGCGAAATATTTAGAAGCAGAGAAAGTTTATCATTATGAAACGTCTCAGAGAATCACCATTGTGTGGGAGCAGTTGCCTCCGTAATGACTTTAGAACCAGCAAAAAGAACCGAAATCAGCATTAGAATGCACCTAGGGGTTTCGATAGACTGTCTACCCCCCCCCCCAAAAGCATAGCCTGAGACAAACAAGGCGAGTTAAAAAATTGTTAGCTGGTGCAATATAAGATTGTATTGTAACCAGCAAAAACCAGCATAATTAATTTTGTCCAATTTTTCAAACGAAAATTAGTTCACAAATTTCCCCAATTTACTTTAAAAAATGTATATTTTTCAGTATGTAAAGTTGCCAATTTTTATACAATATACAGTCTGCACAATATTTGCCACTAAAAAATAATTCCAAGAAAAAATAAGCCAATAAAATTCCATTATCCAAACTACTGTAACAATTTACCACAGCAGGTGAAATTTTCCGCAAATAACTTGCTAGGATGTCGTGAAAAAAAAACAAGTTACTTCTAAACCAGCCATTTATTATTATTTTTATTATTAGATTTCATTACAAACTAAACACAGTCAACATGAAAAAGAAAAACACAAATTCTGAAAACTAATGTATTTATGGAAAGGCACAATTATAAAATTATTGTTCAAAATTGCTAATTATAATTTAACCAGCAATTTTGATGGGCACATGCTGTTAAAAATTCCGTGATTAAATAAAAGTGTAACATTTACATTGTTAAAAACACCCGTATGGTGCATTAGAAACCGTGGACCTTGAGCTGGTCAGGTTTAGCTAGCCCTGCTTTCGTTAACCACTGACAGATGTTTTCTCGCTGGTCTCCCTGTAACTGAAGAACTTCTCCGTATTCTGGATGATCTATTACAGTTCCATTGCAAGCGAATTCCTGGAACAAAACATTTGTTAATTTTAAGAATACCACTGAAATAAAAGTTATAGACTATGAGCCGGATAGAAAAATTTTCCTAATAGTCTATGACTTAAATACTGCAACCTAAAAGAAAACATTTGAGCACTTTGCCGTAAATTCTCCGCACACATGGGTTGTAAGCGGAAAATCAAACTTGCCAATTTTGGGCTGGGTAAATTAATTAAATAGAAATTGACGGCATTTCGACCCAAGCCAGATATTAGAAAAATAAGACATAAAAACCTTATGCCGTACAAAAATAAGGGTTCTGGAAAGGATAAAAATTTTCATTTTCCAAATATTTTCACTAATGTAAAAATTATAGAAAACTACGGCGTGTCAGATTTTAAATAAAGACATTTATTTGAAAGTTATATTTTACTATGCCGTAAAAATGCACTGGCTCTAAAAGCTTTTACCCTGACTCAATTTTCTCATTTCAACCCCTATTCCAAAAAATTATTGAGAAATGTACGGCACCGATTTCAGACTTTTATTTATGCTCTAAAATAATGAAAAATATAAGTGCCGTACAAAATATTTGGCTAAAAAAGTGATTACATAATTGTGAGTGCTCTGAAGCTAACACCATTTTTCTTTGGGTAAAAATCATTATTTCCTAAACGGCATCAATTTTGGAAGCAAGTTATTCCATGTTATAGTCTTTATACAAAAATGCCGTACAAAATTATTGGCACCAGAATAAAACAATTGGCCGGAATAAAAAAAATTGTTTATCATTTTTGCAATTTGGAAAATTCATTTGACAGCTACAATAGCACTCAATATTTTCAATTTTATTACTGTTTTAAATTATTCAAGGGTTAATATTAACAAAATTGTGAATGTCGTCTATTTTTAATTTCAGGGTTTTCCATAATTAGTGGGATTTTCCAAAGCATTTTCACTACATTATGAAATTACATATTCCTGTACAGCATTTACCCCATAACATTAACACCATCAAATGATAATAAAAAATTATATCGCCTTATATTTTTGATGGAACATTCACCGAATGCTATAAAAAATATTTAAATAATTTAAAATATCGATTTTACTATACTGAATAATTAACAACTCCTGTACGGCATTCATTGCAGATTATGAAGGGAGTTTAGTAATGATGAAAAATTATAATACCGTTACATTTGCATGGAATATACAATATATGTATATATGTATAAACAATAAAATGAAAAGAAATAGTGTTTCGTAAATTCCAAGTAGATAGACCAATAAAAACGTAAAACTAAATTATGTTAATCAATTAGAATTTTTTAGAATTAATCTTTTTCAATGCAAAAAATTTATAATTACCAAAAAATTAAACTGATATTTGAAAGAAGTATTAATAACTTTTATATTTTACTTTTTTTACAAAAAAAAATGGCGTTATACACAAACGTTTTTTTGGAACTTTGGGGCCTTTTTTCACTTTAGTGCCACAATATTTATATGGCAATATTTTTTTAATAGTTAATTTTTAACGAATTCGAAAAGGGCACAAATGCCATACAGGAACTTTTCACTAAAATACCCATCCCTTGAGCGGAAAATTCATTTCCCTACTGTGACCTCATGTGCCATAAAAAATATACGGCATAATGACTTGATATGGTTTTATATAGCGCTTTCTAAATTTTTTTCTATCACGCGAGCTTGCTATGGGACCTATAGTGTAGGGGGTTAGGTGCACTGGAAAGTGCTAGATAGTACAACAGCGTGATGTTATTTTCATAGCGCAACGCTGGAGCGTTGCGCTATGAAAATAACATCACGCTGTTGTACTATCTAGCACTTTCCAGTGCACCTAACCCCCTACACTATAGGTCCCATAACGACTCGCACTTGTGATAGAAAATATTATGTGCAACTCGTTCGGAAAAGTTGCCATAGCGCCACTTGGACGCTTTCCGCACTCGCTTCGCTCGTGCGTCAACTGCGTCCGCGTGGCGCTATTGGCAACTTTTCCCCACTCGTTACACAATGTACTATAATTTTAGGGTGCCTCTAATAACACCACCACACAAAAAAAAAAAAGTTGTCTGAAATGTACATGCGACATATGATTTTCGATGTACTTTCGCCCGTTGAACACGAATCCGGAGTCAGAATTGCTCCATCACCCTTCAATTTTCAGCAAAATGCTGAAGAATCTTCTGAAAAAGGAAAATTTTAATTTTTCAGCGTTTTGCTGAAAATTGAAGGGTGATGGAGCAATTCTGACTCCGGATTCGTGTTCAGCAGGCGAAAGTACATCAGAAATCATGTCGCATGTACATTTCAGACAACTGTTTTTTTGTGTGGTGGTGTAATTTTCCTTATTCTATGTAAAACGTAAGGGTTGAGCAAGGGTTAAAAGCCTTTAGAGCCAGTGCATTCGTACGGCATAGTAAAATATAACTTTGAAATAAATAATTTTTACATTAGTGAAAACATTTGGAAAATGAAAATTTTTATTCTTCCCAGAACCATTATTTTTGTACGGCATAAGGTTTCTATGTCTTATTTTTCTAAAATCTGTCTTGGGTCGAAATACCGTCAATTTCTATTTAATTAATTTACCAGCCCAAAATTAGAAAGTTTGATTTTCCGCTGACAACCCATGTGCCACTAGAATTGACGGCATAGTGCTCAAATGTTCACGTTTAGGTTGTAGTATTTAAGTCATACTCTTACAGTGCCTAAAATGATTAGGAAAATTTTCCTATCCGTCTATTACCACACCTCTGAATTTGTTTACACTGGGATTAAATTGAAAAAAGTAGCAATAAATAATAAAAAGTACTTTAAGTGTTTACAGTTAAATGCCAGTTGTATGATAAATTTTAAGCTATATTATTAGTTGGAAAAAATCTAATGTGTTTAAATTAGGAGTTAATTTGAAGTTTGGTTAAACTTTCACAAACAATTCAAGGTATCAGACAATTAATTATATCAATACCAAATATTGGGAACAGGAGGTATTGGAAGCACTATTTATAACGTGGCACCACTGTAGTTTCAGTCGTATTCACACATTTCCGCTGATAAAAACGAGAAGGTATCCTTCAGAAAATAGTTGTCAAATTTCGAGCTATTGGTTTTTATAGTTCTTTCTGTCTATTATTTCCAATATTCTATTACAATTTTATTTTCCAGTACTTTATCTGGTATTTGTGAAATTATGTTTATATTACATATTTAAAGACTGCAGCACAAGACAATATGGCGAATATGCATTTTTTTACACTATTGAAAAATGTCAAAATATGAATAAAATTTTAACCCTTTCGCTGCGCAATACGTCTGAGCGTACCTATTTACGATAAATTTTACGATTTTATTTTGAATAAAATACAGTATACGTACTAAATAGAAACTGAAAGAAACATGAACAATCTTGGTATTATTACCAGTACCTCTTTCCATAAAAATATTTGTCACAATCGGTATAAGCTCGCCCGCAAAAATTCGCCTTACCAATTGCAATAACCGAGTCACTAATGCGCATGGTTGCGAATATATACGGTTTGAGCAGCCTGATCCAATTTAACTATTCATGCGAATTAATCCGTCTGGAGCAGTTTGAGCCCTATAAATTTTTAGCTTTTAAATTTTTAGGGTTAATGTAAATACTTTTTAAGTATGTCGAATTGTCCAACATATATCGGGTCATTACTGTAAACTTTTTTAAAACTAATTGTAGAATATTAAATTTGAATATAAATTCTGTATTTAAGAATAGCAATTTATGCTAAATATATGTAGACAAATTGCTTTCCCGATTTCATAGCATCATCTGCTGCTCTCTCTCTGGTGCCTCAGATATTAATAATTTACTGTTAAACCAATAAACGTGACATGACTCTATCGACTGACATAGTGCTCTTTAACATATTAAATGTTTATTCATTTCTAATTTTAGTCATTATTTTCATGGTGACCTGGTGGTATGCACATCATATCTTTCCTCTTCCTAATCTCTGATTAATTTGAATTTATCAAATAAATTAATAATAATCTATCAAATGAATTAATAAAACCACTGCGTCACTTTATTGATGGTGTGTCCCACACAATCCATATCCAGAGAACATTAGACCCTCAAATCTGACAGATTAGTATTTATTACATTATTTTTATTACCGTATTATGATAGTTTCTTTGTTTCTTTTTGAAGCATGCTTTCTTAGATCCGAGATCCGAGGGCATTGATCGCACTGCCACTTGCTGCAAACAGTTTAACTTCTAAAACTGTAGGCAATGTAAACAATTACATGAGCCCAAAACATTGAAGTTAACACCAATTTCATTATTTTACACGGAAAGCAATGTATATTTTTGTTTGGCCTTTTGAATTGTACTCATTTTTTTAAGGCAAAAATATTAATCTATCTCAAAAACGGTTTTAGAAAATGAAGTCTTGGCTATAAAATATTTATATAACTGCACCATTCAATATTTTTTTTATTATTTGACTATCCAACACAAACTATTCTAAACATAAATGAGTAAGATTTTGTTTCGGAGCTCCAAAGCAATATTTTAAGCCAAGTAAATAACTTATTCACATACCGATATTTTAAATTAATAGTATTAACATTTTGACCATAAGTAACTACAAAATCCGCTTTATTAATATTTTATTTTAAGCAATTTATAGGCTAATTGGTAAGACAGACGATAGATATATTCGAGTTCATATGTCAGAAATGAAACTGACAAGAAACTTCCTCTTTTTCATCAATCGAGGACTCAATATACTTACTAATTATTAACAAGGGATATTACTCGGTTGAATATAAAAATTCGAATTACCTTTTTACATGCTCGAACTATTTTCTTCAGGTCATATTCAGATGAAAGTCCTTGCACTGTAGTTAGAGTCTTACGACCATTTCGCTGTTGAATTCTTATATGAACGAGTCCGTCTTGAACATCATCGTCTGCACCCTTACTTGCATCAGCAAAGGGGTCTGGAATATAATGTAAAGAGTGTATGTGAGTCGAGGTCAAATCGTCAAATAATATACCACTTCACAATCAATACTTTAATATAATTTAGAGTATTTATTTCTTGAGAAAGTGAATGAGGCAAATGAAAAATGAAACGCAAAAAACTACTACTTTTTCAGAATATAAATAGACGCCATTTTGTCTACAAATTTTTCTTGTTTAAATTTAAAGAAATACGAAGTCTTACCAAATGTGGTTAGATTCTGGATGGACATACGATAATCAAGATATACTCGGGGAAATAAAAATATCTGCAAACTGCACTGGTTTTTTTATTAACCGTTAATCACAAGCAATTTTTCTTACACTTCGTTAGACGACGACGACAGTCTATTGCAAATAATTAGATGAATCGCGATCACGATCACGAACCCACGTTCACGACACGATATGAACGACAAAGAAAGAAAGATACTAAATTCACTAGACTAGAACATCAGGTGGACAACGTAATAAACAAATAATTCACAAACTCGGAAATTTGTTTCAACAAAAATTACAATATTCCAAATAATGTACAAAATAATGACAGAAACGTATAGCGATGATTTAGAACAAATAAGAAAAACAAGATATTAGCGTTACTATCATAATTAGGTTTTGATTTCAATTGTGATTTAAATCCTGTTTTCGTTATTCTACCACCATACATAGACATAAAGAACAGGAAGCACACTGCCAAAGGCATATTTGACTCCCTTACAAAACGAAAGAAGACTAAGAAAAGACAAAGAGAGTGATTGTTTATGTTTTAACTTTAAAATTAAAATTATTTGCACTCTGCAGCTAATCCTGCACTTTTTGTATGTATCATAAATGTTATGACAAATTCGTAATAAGATTAAAATCTTTAAAATTGTCTTTTTAATATGAATTATATTATTACATTGATACATTGTTGTTTAATATACCATATCATGACTCATGACTCCGTCTTGATAATAATAATTTTAAAAATCAAATTTTTACAAATTTTAGCAGAGAAATGTAAACTTATTAGAATGAGCACTGGCTATAATTCCTCCTATAGTAACTTAGTAAACGAGGGCGATCCGGAAATGAGAGAGACCGTTTTGGGGTACCGCGGTATGTCTCCCTTTCCCCCAGTATGCGTAAAATTGAAATCGCATCGTGACTTGAACTGGAAACAGGAACGAAATTTCAACTTATTTTGGCCACAATAGAAGTTCCAGCTTGTTTTCAGAATGATAAAATCCTGATTCTAATAACTGAGTAATTCCTAGATTTCTGAAAACCTACTTAATCGATCTCGCCTTAACGGATACGTAATACGTACAAAGTTGAAATGAACCAACTTTTCATCCCTTTTAACCTATCAGTAAAGCAACAAGTCGCTTTACTGATCACATACTTTAGGTATGTGTTTCCCTTATTTACATAAACAATAAGGGTGTTACTTATGTATAATTAATTTTATGTTGATGGTAAAATGTTACCAAATTCATAAAATCCTACCTGCACCACCGAAAATTCCACATCCAAATCCAAGACTCCCTTTCCACTACCCATCCCATGGAGGCCGGTGTCCCCCAGGGCACCGTCCTGTCCCCACACCTATACACCATTTACAACTCCGACATCCCACATCCCCCCAACACCAACATATACTTATATGCCGACGACCTGACAATAACATCCCAATCCGTAGATCCTAGATATTCCGCCTTCCTCCTCCAAAACTTCTTAGACCAACTTGAAACCTGGTGCAACAGGTGGAAAGTCAAAATTAATTCCAACAAAAGTTCGGCTATCCTTTTTACCAAACGAAAAATCCCACAAAACCTCGACAGACTGACACTATCCCAGGAACC